GCATAACTCAATACACTTTTGCCACATAAAATGGGGACTTTGTTGAGTAATTAAAGTCTAATGGGCTTTTATAGTATGAAGGGCCATGGTTATCATTATTTTCCATAGTTTATCTACATGAAGTGCTTTTGTAAATGAGTATTTCATCCTTGGTAGAAGAAAGGTTACCTGCAAGACGGTTCCAGCATGTTAGTGGAGTGCTCACACTTGCCGTGCATGCAGAAGCCGTTGTAATGCTCTGGACAGGGGATGTAGATCCCTCTTGCACTTTCTTCCAGTTTATTTGCATTCTCTGTGAACACAGGTGAAGCGAACATTAGCCTGGCAATGCAGGATAAGGTGGAACGATGAAAAGAATGTGTAAAAGAAAGGAAAATCAGAAGAACAAGATGTGAAAGATGTTTATGGGAAGCAAGAGCAGGAGTTTGCACATCTAATTCCTGTCACGTTACAGCAAACGAGACACCAGTAAAAAAAATTGACTATTCAAAAACTGATTACAGACTAGCACATAAGGAATCCTTCATCATTTCTGTTATCCTCTAAGGACTGTCTCCTTGCACCCAGGCAAGGCTAGGAGGAAGACTTGGGACATTTGCATGTAATATATTGTTACAATACATTCAGTCATTCAGTACAATGTATTAAGAAAGATAATTTTATGCCTGAAGTAGAGGAACAGGAATCCAGAGCTGAAGTTTCTCATCAGTGCTGCATGCCCACAACCCATACTCTCTGGCCTCCTTCTCATCCCACAGCACAGGCACCTTTAAAATGGTTTGATTTCCTGTGCCTACTTCTGCAGCTGTTAAGCTGTCACCAAGACTGCAAATCCTGGAAAATGCTTCCCTCCCTGCAGACAGGAAAATGGAGGCTTCATTTAGTCTTGAAACAGGAATGTGCTCAACACGTATATTATGGGCTGAAATGCAGAGTGCTACTTGCAATAAACACACATGAATTTTGTAGGCCACCAAAGTGTTAACTAATATGCATAATTTGGCAAATTCTTCCATTTAACCACCACTAATGGTATCTCAAATGGTAAAAAACCGTTCTCTGTGATAGCATCGTCTAGCCGTGAGTAATTAAAAACAGAAGATAAAAAAACCTCCTGATAGATGTCTGAGGAAATGTAGTTTGCACACAAGTAAGTTGAAGTCCTTGTATCTTCCAAAGAAAGTCCCCCAGTGTCATGAAACAACCGCAGTTTGTGTTCTGCCTCCAAGCCAGTTGTGCTGGCAGGAGGTATGTTTGGGTATTATCCCACCTTTGGGAAGCATGTGTGTGGCAGATCCAAGATGCAGATTTTCATAATGAATTTCCTTCCTATCACTGCTGTCCAAGGAGAGCTTTAAGTCTCTTAACAACTTGCACTAATCAAGTTGGTTATATTGTCCTTACTTTAAAACAGGCGATGACAAGCTCCCAGCAAATGAGAATGACATGGCAACCTCTGCATCCCCATAGACAGCATTAGTTTTAACTTCTCTTACATTGTTAGGCTTTTCAGAACTGCACTGTGGATCATTGTTGCATCTTTTACACCACACGTGTGTTGAACACAGCCCTGTCTGCCTCTCCTGCCATGAAGGCTGTTAATGACAGTGCAGTGCAGATGTGGACATGATGGTGCAGTGGTGATTCCTGGGCTGCCAGCTCTGTCTGGGATGGCATGGGCAGGACAGGATGGCAGGAGGGAAGCTACAGGCATGGCATAACTTCCTTTGAAAGCCTGCCCAGGAATTTCTGCTACAGGAAGGAGGTGGGGTAGAAGGTCCATTGGGTCTGGCACAAAACGTGTCTGGCTACCCCATATCCTCTAAGCAACACACCAGCATGTAAAATACATACATAGAGAGACTTAACCCACCAGGACTTCATGTGTGTTCCTTTTTTCCAACTGGAAATCTTCCTGGCACAGAAAAAACCTGTGTTGACATATGCCAGCTGCCCATGGACTTGCCCAGTGCACACAGGTAGATCCTGATGAGCTCAGGACTTGTTGAACACCATACACATGTAGTGATCATCTGTGCACCATGCTCAATGTTCAGGACCTCTGCTACAGTCAACATTCAAATATATGTCTGTCCTGGAAACTGCAGTAAGAAATATAGGATCCTTATAAATACATATTTTGTCCATTGTGGAAAACATTATGCTGTCTCCTCCCAGTCTTCCTTCAGTGGGAGCTTGCTTCCTGTCTGAAGAACTGGAGACTCCTCTGTGTGTGTGTGTGCTTACGTGTTTAACTCCAATCATTCCTTCTCAGGTATCAAGACATGTCTGTGATGTCTGTGCACCACCACCAACCTCCACTCTCAGATGAGCCCAGCAGTGCTGCTAAAATAGTAGGATACCATTTAGTTTTTTCAAGATGGTGAGGGAAACTGTTACTTTTAGGACAGACTGATCTGTTAGGACTTGAATAGGGGACCAGGACCCCTCCCAGACTTGCAGATGCTCTCATTGTGTGTAGGCTGTAGGGCTGGTAAAAAGAGGAATGATTTTTCCTCCTCCTGCAATGATGCAGGCATTTTCTTTAAAAAGGTCCCTAGTGTACTTTAAAATAAATCTAGGATCCTGCAGAACTTGGGATTGTATCTCTAAGTGTCATGTTATGTTGGAAAATGCTTTACTGCATCAAAACCTATATGGTCCAAGCTTTGCTGGCACTTCATAGGATAAACTCTTCATACAGGAACACTTATAATCTGTCTTGGAAGAAACCACAAAACCTGGACGTGAATTTTCTGTAGTACCTAATTTTGACTGATAACTCCTCTAAAAGAGTTTGGGATTGAAGATAAGGGCAGAAAGGGGAAAAAACGTTGTATTTATTTTTATCTGCCCTTTTGGTCGTTTGACAGACAGACCAAAGCCAAAGCATCATTTACTTCACACAAAGAAGTTCTCTTCCAGAACATTTTGAGTTCACCCAAAATAATTCCCCTGCCTCAATACAGGTTATTTTTCTCATTACATAAAACATCATTTCAGATTTTAAATAGAGACACAAACACCAAGACATGCTTCAAAAGTTCCTTCATGCTAAAGCTGACTGCTCTCATTCTAGAAGGATCTGAGCACTTCTGATGAGGTACTAACTGTCATGAATGCATCACAGGATTTATATCACCATGAAACAAGTACTATAAATAATTTCTAAAAAGAGAGGATATGAATTAAAAAATGTTTAAATTATTATTCAAATAAGAATTATACAGAGTTCAAAAAATTAAAATTAAATTAAACAAATGAAGACTTCTTCTCTATTATAATTTGGGATTATGCATAAATTCAAGACTGGAGGCAATTCTCACTAATCAGATTATAGTATCACCAACCTAGGAAACCTCTCTACCACACTATCCTTACAGGTACAGAGAGCAAAGATTAAAGCCAAAATTAGCCACTTTTTTTTTCCAAGCACAGCAGATTTGTATTCCTAGAACAATAATACAGACCTACCTCAAAGTTCATCAGGTTTCAGTAAAGTTTGATTCAGTAGCTCCTCTTCAAACACTGGACTTGCTGCATTGTTATTGTGGCAACAACATGTGAAAGTATTAATGGCACCCCCCAAAAAAACAACAAAAAAAACCCCAAAAGATAAAAAAGATAAAAATTGGACTATCTCCTAACCCTGAGCAAATGTAATTCCTGCCACATTTCTCAAATTGCTTCTGCTTTTTATTTTAAAAAGAAATACACCCTCACCCTCAGATCAACTGTATTCAGAACCCTTTTTCTTAAAGCATTTTTCTGCTAGAAACCATCACTTTGATGAAGCCAACATCTTTTCCATCTCTGCAACATTTCTTGTATCTTTAGCCTTACATGACATTTCATATTGTTCACATCTTTTGTTAGTGCCAGAACATGACATGATAGCCTATCATCTAAGATATAGTCAAAACAGATTATTTTTAAATGCATTGAGGCCAGATGCTACTTTGTGTTAACTGAAACAGCTTATCATCTTGCTTACTAGAAGAGTCTCCCAGTTGAACACTTGGTCTCCAACTGAGATGATGAGCTATTTCACTGGGGTAAGAAATTGGATCCTGAAAAGTTACCCAGTGTGACTAACCACACACTCAGTGGTCTTGCTTTTGCTGATAAATTATCTTCTGAAAAGTTAAACACATCTAAAGATACATTGTCAAAATTCCTTAATACCTATGGTTGTTCCTGTCCTCCATCAAGAAGCAGTAGAATAATTATTTCAAAGATCTTTTGTATTCCTTTTGTTTTATTTTCTGGTTTAGGTGACTTTACCTCAAAGGTTTTGGAAGCAGAACATGCACCATTAGGATTCTCAGGTAAATATCTTGTGAAAGCTGAAATTCAGAAGCCAAAGAGTCTGCCTGGTTGCAGGACCTGACTCTGCAAGTGATGAGAACAGAGCAGCCAGATTCTTCTCTGGGCAGCCTCACTGGTCCCCAGCTCCCACCCGAGCTACTGCAGAGCTTCTGTTACACAACTGAACATGTGGAATATCTCAGCTGACAAATGATTAAGTCCATTAGTGCCCTTGATGAGGATTATATGAAGTACTGCCTGGAGTGCCCAGAAAATTCTTTCCAGACATAAGTTCCTGCAATCTACTTTAAAGAAATTAGATAAAAATCTAGGCAAAAATAGGATTCCTATGTCCAAATATTGACTGCCAGGCACTTAACAATCAGTTCTGAAGGGCTGATAATTCTCTGTTCTTTATGTTTGAATCAGTGAGACTTTCTTGGTGATTTCAGGCAGGCAAAATAGAAGGTCAGAGCCTCTAAGTTTACATGTTAGGATTTTGAGTTATACAGTCTGCAATGTTGGAGCTTATGGAAATAAGAACTGCCCATATGAGAAAATACTGACTTATGTACAATGTTAATACCTTTTCTACAGTCATCACTGGACCAAGGGAGATCCTGCAAATACATATATACACATATATTTCATCAAGAAGGGACACAATAGTGAAGGATGTGCAGAAAAAGCTATTTGGACACCCATCTCATTGGGAGCAGTGGTTAAGGAGAACTGACTTACATAATAATTTAATCTTTTAATACTGCTGAAGTCAGACAAATTTGCAGCTGAAAGCTCTTGGTGATATTGAGGTAGTGACTCCTTACACATGACATTTGTGGAGGCTTTACGAAGGGAGAAAGGGATTCCTGGGACACATGTGTGTCCTTAGCCTTCTCAAATCCTTTTGGAAGTGTGTCTCCCCCCACTCCTTTTACCTCCTCACCAGCTCTCCCAAAGATATGCTGCAGAGCTCAGAATTGG